TCACCCAAATTATGAAAAAAGTATATTTTTTTAAAGTAGAAAATTCATTTCCCAAATTAATATTAATTTTAAAGAGACTTCTTACTTGTGAAATTCAATGGTGTTAATATTTCTGAATTAACAAGTTGTATGTTAATAGAAAATTTGTTACAGTAATTAATAGAGTTAGAAAGTTTAACAAAATGGCTTTTTGATATTATTTTGTGACTTTTTTCATTTTGCCTTTTTGGCTTCTGACGCCTATTTTGTCTTATTTTTTGCCTTTTTGTGCCCTTAACACCATTATTTGACTTTTTTCTTTTCCTAACACCAATCTCAAATTGGTTATATACTAGCAAGCCTGGACAATACATATATTTTGCCTTTCTGTGGAAAGAGGAGGCTGTGTTTAAAATTGAAATGCAAAAGGAAGATGATACCAGTCAAGACTTTTGATTTTTTCATGGATGCGAATAGGCTTCATTCACTCACGAGGAATCCCTACTTTTGAGCATGGTTTCCAATTCTTTTGAAGACAGCTGTCTATATGATATACCCTTCTCATTGCTGACAGTTACATAAGTGCAAAGAGTGAAAACCTATTTCCTTTTTCACTAATGCCATTTAAAGATTTAAAAGTGTCCACAATAGCATTTTGAAGAGATAGCACCACAAGTAAAACAAATTCGCAGCCATCACACTCGATGGCCATGTGGAATCAAAATTACTAAGAAAAGATTTCCTTACATTTTAAATGTTCATGTAGATTTTAGAGATAGAATCAAAATTAGATTCATATTAATTATTAGTTTTTTACAGTAATTCCTTTTAAATGTAAATTTTCATCATTTACTTGTCTATTTACACCCTTATTAGAACTAGAAAAAATGCATTTTTGAATGCCTATTTTGGGTAAAATTAGTCTTAACTTCTACGCTCTAGTAATAACATTGAAGTATTATTGCTGCTTCTGTTTGAATCATATTTGACAGTTTATTTCACTGAATGTCATGAGTTTGTTATGTAAAGTACTCAGTATGTAAAGTTCGTACATGTATTTACCTACAACAATCCAGTAGTAGTTAATAGAGCTACTCTCTTGGATGCAAAAAGAAGCCTACTTGCCTATGACACTAGTGATAAAATGATTTCATTATGACACTCTATAAAAGGACAAAACTGAAAGTCATTGCTGGAAAGTAATAAATAAGAATACAAACTTAACTAGGACTTTCATGTAATCACAGAAATAAATATTAAGTAAAAACAAACATAACTTTGTAATTGTCATAAATACAATAATAGATTGATTGATACATGGTTGATATAACTTTGTAACGAAAGATCCTATGAAGGTATATAGCCTGCTGACAGCCCCTGACCACAATGAAATTGAAAGAGAGAAAATTCTTTTCTGAAGAGTATTTTGATTGATTTCTTGAGGTTCAGGGGAAGTTGAGAAACATAATCCATAAGAAAATTAATTGACTAGCCAAATCTTCATTTCCATACACTATTTATCATTTGAATTCATAGAATGATAAGTAACATTTGGAAATAAACACTAGCTATATGCAAACCATCCCATTAGTTATTATTTGTGACACTCGTAGAACACATTGAGCATAAAATATTTTGCTATATAGTATTTACATTTTGCTTTCACAACCTTCATTTTTTACATCACAAAATTAGAAAAGTTTTCAAATTATTTTTCAGGTTCTTTAAACTTCACTGTATAATATTACAAATATTTACTTTCAGTCCCTTTAAAGAAAAATGTCTCGAGCACTTTCCACTCTTGCTCAGAACATTTCAAAACAAGTTTCTTGAACTCATTTCAATCAGTACCTACTCATCCTCAACAAAGTAATGAACACATCTGTCAGAAGAGCTGGCAGCAAAATCCATAAAGGGACCATAATACCATAAACACTGACTGGCCATGTAGGGTTCTGAAGTTTAAGGCACAACATAATTTGCGAAGCCATTTTCAGTACTATGCCTAAGGCATACCATCCCTTGTTTCGCAAAGGATTCCATATTCTGTCATGCACATTTCTACAGGAAGACACAATATTCACAATAACATACACTATTAAAATAAAGTCATAAATCCACAATGGAATAAATACAATAAACCAGTTCCACTGAGTTCGCATGTCCAAACGAAGCACGAGCAATATCAAAAACACTAAAAAAACAAACCAAGTAAAAAGTGCTCTGTGTAAAACAGCCATTTTCGAAACCAAATACACACGTTTGGGTCTTTTCAAGATATACGCCTATGTGACAATTTTGAGGCGTCCATTTACAATGTTCACTTTCATTATGAATTGGTGATACCGGGGATTCTCTGTATGCAGAAAGTTTTGGTCGGCATAACCTCAACAAACGTCAGACCTAGGAAGAGCATGGGAGAGCGCGATCACAAGCACCTACACATTATTTGGTCGATGGGCGCGCCAGGGCGCGCTCGCCGCACCTCTGCTGCCACTTTCCGCGCATACTAGCGAACGAGCGGCTCTTGCTGGGAATCGATGAAGATTCGTTCTCACACCAGGGACTTCGCGAGTTGAACGACTCGTGCAGCTCACAGTAACAGGATTCGTTTTATTTTCGAACGAGATTTTCGGTAGCTTTATTACTTCAAATCGCAACAATTTTCTGTAAACATTCTTTGCAGAACTTGATTTATTTATTAAATTAATTAATAATCATATCACAATACTACTACTTTTTTTCGCCTGTAAACTTCATGATTATTGGGGCACTCATTTACTGAAAACATGTTTCAATAACAGAATTGAGTTGAGACTATGCTTAAATAATAATAACCACAGACAGTGATTCTGTTTTAATCAAAACATTTTTTTGGTTTCGTAGGTTGCGCACACAATGTGTTCGGTACACGTTACAAATGACTTTCCGGAAAGCAGGGCGGAGAATCATTATTTTATTATGTTCTACGGCTCTTTTCTTTTCTGGTTTGAATTGCAGTGATCACTACACATTGATATGGAATTGGCCTAGCGGCGCGGTATAGATAACAGAGCCTGAAGCCCTTTCCTTTGAACGTAACAAAACATTGGGAGTTCTTAAAATGGAACTAGCGTGCTCATAAATTCAAAAGTATTCTTAAAAATCACGATTATGTCATTCACACTGAAATAAACCCGTATTTTCAATAGATGTGATATTATTTCTCACTAAAACACGACCACAACATTGTAGAGTCGAATAACAGCTGAAAAACTAGCGGTATATCTGGTGTACTTGAAACAGAACAGGTGCTGCAAATATTACATTCATTTATGCTCCAAGACTATAATATGGTAAAGGACGACTAAGACAAGATTAAAATAGTTTATCTTGTCATTTAAGCTTCATGAATTCATATATAATTAACAGGCGATTCAAAAGTGCAGTTTGAATGTCTCATCCTGAAACAATAATGAGCATATTTGTCATTTATCACTCAACAGTTACTGTTTATACATTTATTTTAGTGTTATTCAAACATGTAACTGAAGTAATTAAATTTGCATGGTGCATAAACCATTATTTGTGGATGAATTCTTCACTATTTGGAAGTATTAGATTGAAAGAATCTTCTGTAATTTTTTTTTTACTTTCTCTCACTTACTACGTAAGAAGAGAAAGTGTACAAATTGTGATCAGGAAATTGACGATTTTTCTAACACAAAATTCTCGGACCCTGCTTACAAAAAAATGGATAAATCTTGTCCCTACATGTAATAAATTACTTCTTCCAACACTTCTGTACTCAGAATCCATGTTTTGTGGGTCATTAATTCCGAAAAATCAATTGTCTTTTAGACTTACCTTGCCTAATCTGCGTTCTTTCGTTAATCACTATTCTTTAAAGTAAATCTATTGTTTTAGTCTTTTGTCTATATTTTATTTTCTTAATATATATTTCTTCCGCCTAGTAAATACCGTATTATCTTTTGCCACGTCGGGAATTTCGTAATTCGACACTTCAACCGTCCGTATTCGTAAACTATGGTCTATTTTAATAACATGACGTGTGGATTACTTCCATTGAAATTTACCGGAAGAAATGCAAAGTAAACTACTGATTTGTTTACCTTTTCTGCCTACATTAAATTAAAATTGAATGTGTATACGTTATTATTTAAATTTATTAAATTTAATGTTCATAATTGATTACACGTTTTTTCTCTTTTTCTTTCATTCATTCTCTTCCCTTTTCTTTCTTTCTTCCTTTCTCTCTCTTTCTCTTCTTTTTTCTCTCTCTCTCTTTCTCTTCTTTTTTCTCTCTCTCTCTCTTTCTCTTCTTTTTTCTCTCTCTTTCTCTTCTTTTCTCTCTCTCCTTCTCTTCTTTCTTTCTCTCTCCTTCTCTTCTTTCTTTCTCTCTCTTCTTTCTCTTGCTTTCATTTCTTCTCTCCTTCTCTTCTTTCGTTTCTCTCTCTTTCCTTCTTCTTTCTCTCTCTTCTCTTCTTTCTTTCTCTTTCTCTTCCTTTCTTTTCTCTCTCTTTCTCTTCTTCTTTTCTCTCTCTTCTCTTCCTTTCTTTTTCTCTCTTTCTACTTCTTTCTTTCTCTCTCTTTCTCTTCTTTCTTTCTCCCTCTCTTTCTCTTCTTTCTTTCTCCCTCTCTTTCTCTTCTTTCTTTCTCCCTCTCTTTCTCTTGTCTCTCTTTCTTTCTCTTCTTTTTTCTCTCTCTCTTTCTCTTCTTTCTTTTTCTCCCTCTCTCTCTTTCTCTCTCTCTCTTTATTTTCATAGGTTTACCATTCCGAAAATCTCCAACAAACATGGAAGATCTGGAAAGCAGCAATAAGCTGCGAGTTCCCCAACGCATTTAATGTTTTTCGGAATGGGAGAAATAGAAACAAAATTCTCATACCCATACTTTCTATTATTACTTAGTAACGTACTAGTATTACCATCTTGTATATAAAATGCAAAGCTATACATTTTTTATGTTGTTTTTGAACTGTGAGATGTACCTAGCTTATGTTCATGACTGTATCTTTTCAGGCCATGGGTAAATCAGATGCAGGAGTCGGACCGACACCCAGTGACGGAGCAATCCATCGCCGCCTTGCATCTGTAATCGACTCCTCGGATTTCTACAACACACCTTCAATGGCACATCAGGTGTCATTCGCTTGCAAAGTAACTCGCAGATTCTTAACCGCAGGTACAGTTTGAAAACATGTATGACAATAATTATTTCGTTATTGTACACACTACTTGAGATGGCTCAGAGCAACAACTCTTGCCACCGCAGCAAATCTGACTGACAAATCCCACAATTCAAGTCCAGACAGTGGCAGCTATGCAGTGGTCGACACTGCACAGCTGAGTCAAATTCAGCCGCTGTCTGGAGGAAAATTCTAGCCGTTGACTGCTTTGATCAGTAGTTTTCCGTAATTTCTCCGATTAGTACCAGGCGAATGGCACGCTTTCCACACTCCACATTGTCGCTTACATGCACTACCTCCCATACACGTTGGGAGACCAGAGCTTGTCCATGGAGAGGAGGTGCCTCATTGACGGAGATTCATGGAAAGAGGAAAGTCACACTAATATACTTCGTTTTCTAAATTAGGTATTAGTGCAAAAATTGCTACTTTGCAATTTTGCTACTATATATATATATATATATATATATATATATATATATATATATATATATATATATACACACACATTTAAATTACTACTATGTTTTACTGAAGTAAAATGTGCATTTGATCAATTAGAAGTTTTGCTGGCCGTAAAAAAACACATTTTTGATCACTTTTGATGAAAAGTACAAAAATGGTTTAATCGATATAAATCATTTAATAATTTGATTTAAATTTTCATTGAAGTAAACGATTGAAATCAATTTAATTAAAGCATCGCCTCTTTATTAGAACCGTTGCTTATGTTATGAAGATAACAGACATAAATTACCCGATAAAAGCACTGGGAAATCAATTCTTCGTGAATACTATGAATCTAAGTGTTTCCCGCATTTAAGGATTCAAATGTCGAGAACTGATCTCTGGCTCATGAGGTTGAGAGTCGTAAAATTCGGATTTAGTGTACTTACAGGTGTCGAAAAAATAGCAAGAATAGCTGGTATGTATTTATACTCATGGTTTGATTATATACTGATCCGCTAACCATGAAAGAACCTTTTTGGCTGTGTGTATGTGCGTATGTGTTTGTAGAGAACGTTTAGCAAAAATATGCTAGTCATAGTAAGCACTTCTTTGTTGAAGATGTCGAGATATTCATTTGCAATAATTCAATCATTGAGGGTAATGATAGGACCAGATGAATACTACAATCTAGACGGCTCGAATTACAGCTGAACTACATGATTGTACGAAGTAGGCGAGCAGGATCGTTGGTTGTTTTGGGGTTCTCCATACATAAACCCGGTCGTTTGGATTGAATTGAATTGAATTAATGCCTTATTTTACGTGACGGGACTCGGGCCATCAGGCTCGTTCTTCCGTCTGACCACGCAAATTTCTCTACTTCACCAACTAGCGGATAAAGGAGGTATTTTTTGGACGACGAAACAGGCGATTTGAATTTAGCTCTGAGGCGTCATTTAGGCTTGAGGATCTTTTACATGTAAGTATATCTACGAACATGGGACAGCCGGCTTAACTTCGCTTCCGAAGGAAGGCGTACGATGGATTTTCTCGCCCTTAAAAATCCACTGCTTCGATCGAGTTTGAACCTGCTAACTTGAGAGTAACAGTTTGGAGGAAACTAAACGATGATTCATCGGGCCGTACCGCATTTTTCCACTCATTAAGTGTCCAGGTTTTATGATCGTTGCACCACTTCTTTCCTATATTTTAGATTTACATTTAGATTTATTTTGTCAAAAATACAGAAAAAAGGTATGCAACGTATGGGAGACAAGAATGTTTGAATTGCTTTGCGTTGCTTTGCATTGATTCCTTTATGAAGGGTTTCGCAACTGAAGCCCCCCTTCCCTGAATGTTATCTTTGTGAAGCTCGTACCGTACTGTTTTTCTGGAAGGAGTACAACTCAGATGAGTGTTGAGTATCGCAGTCACTTTTGCTGTGGTAGTTTAACGTTGTTTGTCCTAATGTTAGAGGGTTTCTTTTAGTTAACTTTGCTTTTCGCCCATTCCTCTTTGCCGACAATGTTTTACCACGTTTCGTGGACACTGTCGCTCGTGAAACGTTTTATAGTTCAGTTGTTTTCGTCGTAGCTGCTTCTGCTAACCACGCACCATCGATGTTATCTTTCGGAGGTTGAGAGATAACCCATTTCTCTGATCGCATGTGTTTACCGTCGCAGACGAAAACATACAATACAGTACAATATAACCTTCAAAACGTGGCGCATGCACTGTTAAATGCAACCGCGTTGCAGAGTTTACACGTCCGCAGAGGCGACAACATGCAAACCTGTATATTGCATGATGTTCATATTATTTTGTTCAACCTTTGCAGTTAGCATTTAGCAGACATTTAAAGCAACTATAGCGTAGAGGTTCCAAGTCCTTCCCGTTGCCCTTGGTTGATTGATTGATTGATTGATAATTACTATTACGCATCAACTACTATGGTCATTATTCCGGAAGGTGGCGGTGTCCTTCCCCCGCTCGATGGCGAGATTCGGTGCCGCCTTCACGTTGGCTGGAGAGTTTTTTTCCCATCGATGTACCTTCCACCAATGAGACACCGTTCTGCTGGGACAAACTCTATGATCCCAACTGGTCTTCCATCATGTGTGGTAGTGTTGTGCATGTAAGTGCAAGTGTGTGTAAGTAAGGATTGAGGTTAGGTCAAGAAATAGGAAGGAAATATCGCACAGTCCGTGGCCCATTTTTAGGGTTCTGATTCGGGCATTTATCTGGTAGTGATCGGAGAAACAAAAGGAAACTACCCATCAGAGCGACCGGCCGCTAGAATTCCCCTCTACGATGTAAGAATACACCGTGTGCTATTCTCTGCCTATTTTCGACTTGGTGCTTGTCGGAGTGTGACATGACTAGTGTGAAGGCGAAGAGCGGCATCCAGTGACAAGTTGATCTAGTTGAAAGAGACGACTCTAGAAATCAGTGCAAAGGAGGAGCTCCTCCTTGCGTCGCGGAGAGTTCCATTACAAAACATTTCCTCTTCTGACTCCAGGAGCATGATGAGATACGGGTGGTTACTGTACCAGTGCAGTAAACACTAATCTAACCTAGGAGCGATTTCGAGCGTTCTTGCGTCGCTTAGATGCTCGCGTAATTTAAACCTCGATCAATGTCAATATCCTCATCGCTATTAGTTAAACATACTTTTTTTCAAGCATCCAAGCAAATATTTTATTCGGTAATTACATTCAAAAAAAGAAAATAAGTGAGGAGAATAAAATAAGCGAGTTCCTCCCTTCCGCCCCTTGGAAAAAGCCGTTGTGTGACCGGTTATGTGGTTACGAGACCGCAGTTTAAGCTTCGTACACCGGTGTTCTAGACTTGGCAGTAGTGGATTTTCGATAGGAAATACGGAGCGAGGTCGATCGACGCCACTACCCAGAGAATAATTCCAAATGTTGGTAGCTCTGTCGACAGAACGTTTCTGGGGTTTCCTCCGGTCATTTTCCCAGTAGATGTCGGAGCAGGATCGTAAACATCTAAATAGTAATTTTATTAACCGCGCGTTACATTTCCTGTGGTCATTACTCCCATTCTTAGAAACGGACGATGGATTAATTCCCTACCCCAAAATGGTTCATGACACATAATCTAGAATGTGTTGTAGAACTGACAGTACGGGCATGTCCCAGGCGCGAATTGAGAGAGAGGAAAATAATAAAAAGAAGAAAAGAGTAATATTTGATTTGATTTTATTCGTCAAAATAAGAGTAAAAACTGTGACGTATTGAGGAGATGTATAATCTGTGAACGTTTTCTTGTGCTCCAGAATCTCTTCTCCGCCCTTTTACTGTGTACATGTGTTGATGTATTTTCTTAGATTTATTAACTAAGAGAGGTATCAATGTATTATTGGCAAGACAAAAGATAGAGGCGACGTTAGTGTAAATGATAGTTTTCTAAAACTCATTTTTAATTTATTTAGTTAAGAGTCGTTCTAATTATCCAAAATATTCATAGTTTTGTGATGAATAACGTCCTAACAAAGCGAGGTTGGTAACATTTGAAAATTTTTGCTCGTGAGTTATATAAAATATTATTTGCAGCGATAAACGAACTACAGATTTGATTTTATAGTATTACTAAAAATCAGCAACCCACAGCCTCGGCTCTCCTCCTACAACAACAAACAAAAGAAACGAGCACCACAAGACGTGTGCATAGTGCAGCTTCATTTATGACCAGGATCAAAACAAGGGGCCGTCAGGAGCTCTCAGCATTTGTTCAAAGGGTCAGGAAAACTGGATTAAAGACCTCTTCGAGATGGGGATCATTGACCCAGAAGCTGAAGTACATTACAAGTTATAAAAATATTTAGTATTTTCAAAAGTATACCAAACAAATGTTAACTCATTCGTGACATATAATTGTTAAATTAAGTATTAGTTTTCTTTTTGAAGGTCACTACAATCTCAAATTGTTTAGAAGCTGTTAGCCAACAGAAAGGATTTAAATTGGTACTTAAACTTGTCTGTTGATTTTAATTGTTTAATTCCATCTAATAATTCGGTGTAAAGAATCGTAGGTGAATTATACGTACATTTATTATAGTGAGCTGTTGATACTGATGAATATAACTCCTGATGAAAATAATTTCTACGACGTGTATCTGTATTGCACAAAAATATGTCTCTTAATTAAGACGTTTTGACAAAAACTACAGATATATAAATATAACATACAATATACAAATAAATATGCTAGGCAATGATAAGTTTCCAAGCTCAGTGAAGAGAGGATTGCATGAGTAACATAGATGGCATTTGTTTACGTTTCATTCAATTTTTTCGGTAACCAGCCTGCTGCAGGATATGCTTCCCCAGAAAGTATTTTTTTAAATCTTAATATCTGCCAATTGCAATTTGTTCATTCCCAATAGCTCATGCGATTGCCTGATTGAAATGCAAAACTGCGTTGAAACTGTTTTTTCTCCACCCACTATTAAAGTATTACGAAACCAAATTGAAAACTCTGAAATCGTACAATTTATTGTTTCCTTATTGCAAAGAACATTCATGTCCT